ATGACAATCCAAATAATGTAAGCATGAGGAAAAACAACATTTACTGACAAACCTATCAATATCTTTCTAACCTCAGGTAAGTCACAAAACTGGTCTTAGAAGGAAATAGTTATTCTTTAAGAAAAATCATGATCTTATTTTATCCAAATTTACAGGTCCCTAAAGAAGCTGTTACAGTGAAGGTTTCTGGTATATTTAAACAACACTTAAATGAAAGAGGGAAAAGCAGAGATCATTCAATTGATATCAGCCATTCTTTATGCAACTTAAGATAAAAGAAAAGCAGAAGATACCTGTGTCATATTAAGTGAGAGACAGACTAGAAATGAAAATGTACGTCCACTAGTCACAATAAAATGTCTGGCCTCTCTGGGATCTTGAGGGTAGGCGGGTGGCCATCTGGCTTAGAGGCAGTGGGGCCCACGTGGAGGAGGTGCAGTGGCCTGTGTGACCACGAGGTGTCGAGGGGATCAGGTATCAGGCATCAAAAAATAAAAAATAATATCCTGTGTGCCCACCTTCCCGATGGCAAATGTGTGCATAAGCAAATGTGGAGAAGAAAGCTGATGGTGCCCGGCTATCAAAAGTTATAGCCGCTGGGGTCTTAAAGGATTGAAGGTAAACAAGCAGCCATCTAGCTGAGACACAACAAAGCCCACATAGAAGCACACCAGCCTGTGTGACACCACGAGGTGTTGAAGGGATCAGTTATCAGGCATCAAAAAACAAAAAAATCATATCATTGTATGCCTACCTCCACAATACGATTGCTGAAGACAAATGTGTGCATAAGCAAATGTGGTGAAGAAAGCTGATGGTGCCCGGCTATCAAAAGATCTAGCCGCTGGGGTCTTAAAAGCTTGAAGGTAAACAAGAGGTCAACTAGCTCAGAAGCAACAAAGCCCACATGGAGGAAGCACACCAGCCTGTGTGACCACGGGTGTCAAAGGGATTGGGTATCAGGCATCAAAGAACAAAAGATCATATCATTGTGAATGAGAGGGAGTACGGATTGGGGTCCCAGAGCCCATCTGTAGGCAACTGTACATCTCTTACAGAGGGGCCGTGGGGAGGAGATGAGCCAGTCAGGGTACAGTGTAGCAACGATGGGGCATATAGCTTTCCTCTAGTTCTTGGATGCTTCCTTCCTCCACAGTCATGGTCCCAATTCAACCTTACAAATCCAGCTAGCCCAGAGAATGTACACTAATACAGACAGGAGCCGGAAACACAGGAAATCCAGGACAGATGATCCATTCATGAGCAGTGGTGAGAGTGGCTATACTGGGGGTGGGGGACTCAGGGGGTGTAGAAAAGGGGAATTGATTATACGGATCTGCGTATAACCTCCTCCTTGGGGGGTGGACAACAGAGAGGTGGGTCGAGGGAGACAGCGGACAGTGTAAGATATGACAAGGTGACAATGGTTTGTAGATTATTGAGGGTTCAGGAGGGAGGGAAGAGCGGGGCGGGAGGGGAAGGGAAAATGAGGGTTGGATACCAAGGGCTCAGATAGAGGGCAAATATTTTGAGAGTAATGGGGGCAACAAGTATACAGATGTGCTTGACATACACTGGATGTGTGTATGGACTGTGATGGGAGTTGTGTGAGCCCCTAATAGAATGATTAAAAAAAAAAAAGTCTGGCCTCTGGTGAATCCGCTCTGACTATAGTTGAGTGATGTGAATAGCCTTGCTATCAAAAAAAGAGCATTGTAAAGTTGATTATGACTGATACAGTTGGGTTAAAATACAATCATTTGATCTCCCTTTTGACTCATTCTAAAATTGTTTCCGTTTTTAACACTTTTGGCTTTCTTTTTGGTTGAAGTTCTTCTATGTCTTGGCTAGTCAGTGTTTATTTATTTATTTGGTTGTCAAGATGCTACAGGACTGGGCAGTATTTCCTTAGGTTGTGCATAGGATCACTATTGGTTGGAACCAACTAGATGGCACCTAACAACAATGAGAGCGAGAAGAAAATGTTCTCAAAATAACTGGTGATGACTGCACAAATATGTTTAATAAAACAGAAAAATTGAATTATATATGAAGCATATGGTAATAAAACGAAAAAAAAAAAAAGCTTCAAAAATAAATAGAGAATTAAAATGTTAACAGTGGTTGATGTGAATGGTAGGAACAAAGGTGGGTTTTTCTAATTCCAAATCTCTACATTTCTTTAATCTTTAATAGTATTACTGTTTTTATTATTATTTTTTAAAAATAATTTTATTGGGGGCTCGTGCAACTCTTATCACAATCCATACATACATCCACTGTGTCAAGCACATTTGTACATTTGTTGCCATCATCATTTTCAAAACATGTGCATTCTACTTGAGCCCTTGGTATCAGCTCCTCATTTCTTCCCCTCCCTCCCCACTTCCCACTCCCTCATGAACGCTTATATTACCGTTTTTAAAATGAAGAAAATAATTCCTTTTTAACTGTACAGAAATCCTACCCTAATCAATTTCAGTAATTGTAAAGAATTATAAAGGAAGAAAGGTCTTGATAAAGCTATTTGGATTATAGTTATAAAATCGTGATAATAACTTGAAACATTACTGACATGATATAGGGTTATAACTCTACATTTTAGCCTAGATGGTAATTCCTTCTAAGCACTCAGATCCTGATTTGTCCATGCTCTTAATAAGAACAAAAACTTACATTTCCTTTCTTATAGATTCAACTAATGTGCTCATAAGGAATGTGACATAATCAAAGGTTCACTGAACTACAGCCAGTTTCCTCATCTGGGAAAGAAGATCTGTGTGCCCAATGAAGCTATTGTTGAGTTCATACAGCAATATGTGAAGGTACTTTGCAAACAAATTAAAGGCTAAACAAATGCAACCTATTATATTACCTGGGAGGCAGGATTTGGGAGCGCTTATTACAAAATAATTAAAACTGCACTAAACACATTTGTGAAACCAAAACAATCAGTTAATTACTATGTAAGAACAATAAAACCTAACTTGTTTCCCAGGTTTTAAAATCAATGTCATACCTGATGGATGAGTTACTTGTTTAAAATAAGAAAGGGTAAGTGACATAATCATGGCTAATCTGGCCCTTTGCAAAGCATTCACAAGGGTTTCACCTATTTTTTTCTTTTTCTTCCTCTTTTATAATTTTAAGCAATGCATTATAAACTTAGCCAAAGAATTCTATTAACAAATTTACACACTGGGAGGAAAACACCCCAAAACAATAAACACAGTTGTGTAACACTGATTAATATAATGATTCTTCCTCAAATCGTGTGATTCAGAAATCCTACAGCCCTCCAAACAGTTCCCTGAAGTTATTTAAAACTTTTTAAAAGAAAATCCATAGAGCATATAGATTAGCTGTTGCTCTAAAGAGCCAAGAAAATCACAATTCACTGGCATTGAGTCGATGCCGACTCATAGTTATACCTGTGGAAGCCTTTGGGTAGTGCCTCCAGAAGTACATTCTAGGCATGTAAATGCTAGAAAAATTAATATTCAACTCAATTCATAAAAGCACACTTTCAAACCAGGTATCTTCTGAGTGTTTAAACCTTGTAAACATTTTATGAATTACTTTAGCAGCTCATATATATAGTTGCATCCTCGTTTACTGAAAATACTTCCTAGCATATGATGCCAAATGTCTGACCTTTAGTTCATCTCTCTTTATGAGCCTCACTTGTCACCAGACACCTTCACAAGCAAACATCCATTCTCCAGCCATTGTAACAACTTGCTGGCAGATTAACACAAGTAATGAACTGATTGTGCAAAACCTAGCAAATTCATACCAAATAAGGCATTTAAAATTTCAGATAAAGTTCCTAAGATGTCCTTTTGCTTTTTAAAAAGTATTAAAAACTATGAGTTGCTATGAATTAGCGAATCATGATCAGAAATTAAAACATTTTCCTTTTTTAAATCAGTACTGAAATGGGCTACCTTCTTAAAGCTGAAAGACGTCTTAAAAAAAAGTAAAATTAATTATGTCTTATTTTGGTTTTAAGGCTTTAAAATTTTTTTAAATCCATCGATTTTGGTAAACGTAGGAGGGCAAAGTTCTATTAATCATATTAACCATTAGCCAACGGTTGATCTTCTATTTTGCTACTGCCTTTTTTTCATTTAAGTAACCAACCTAATTTGAACTATTTCATATTTTGGAATCGGAATGATTTCCCTGTGTGCATACAGAATTATTGCTCATAAAACAACCTTATGCTTCCATTTATTTGTTTTGATTATTTTTTAACAAACGACATGCTTAGACTGTCGGGGGGGAAAAAGGAAAAAGGTTAAGTACAAGGACCCAAATATGCCACAAGTGGAATAATGTTCTCAAGGACCTGAAAATAAAAAAGTATGCTAAGGGGAACAATTTTTTCCTTCCTGATTTAACAAAATGATAAAAAATAAAAAAATAAACCTTTTGGCTCATACTTGTAAGAAAATTATTCCCCTTTGATTCTAATCACAGAACATAAATCTGAAAAGTGCTCTTTTAAAGATTCTTTATTTAATAAGAATCAGGTATATGTGATTGATATAAATACCTGACATGTAACCACAACTAATCTTTATTCCTCAAAGCAAAAGCTGTTTAACAAGCAACGTATACATGTTAGCAACTTAAAAGAATGATCAGTTTCCTCATATGTACTCCACAATTACTCGAAAATTTAAAATATAGTCCATATCAGCAGTTAACATAGCAAAGTTTTTCTGTCTACTAGGTACTGTTCTAAATATTTACTAATATAATTAGGAAGCATATAAGCTCAGTGAAGTTGAAGGTGTACTGATGTGGGCAGTTTTCAAAGACTAGAATATGACATGGCAACAGAGAGTACACACCTGTGCTCTTTGGGGGAGCACATTAAGGCTTCTTACCTTAAAAAAAACTGCTTGAAAAGGTTCTAGTTAGTTCTGCCAATATCGCACAGACATACACTAATGTCTACATTACGTAATGAATCATAACTTAGAGAGTCTTACCTTTTATATCTGCCTGAAACTGTTCTAGATGGCTCCTGTAAAGGGAAAATTGTAAGGTATTAGTTTCAATGTGTGTGCAAGCACACAAGCTACTGATTATATAAAAACAGTTGACACAGAATATCTACCTTGGAAAAAAAGTTACTTCTAATTAAAAAAAATCTTTAAAAAATTGTTTTAAATTAAAAAGTAGGGCAATCTCCACTACTTTTAAAAAGTCAAACAAAACATGCAAGACTTTCCATATGATTTTTTGGGGGTGGTGGTCAATACTATTGATTTTTTTTTAATAGGAAAGTTCAGGAAAAAAATATACAAGTACAGTATCATTAAGAAACCATCCAAATCAAAATCTTTTAAAAGTCTGTGAGCAAAAAACACCCACAAACATTATAATCTTTATAACAGGTATATAGGTAGGTTTAAATTAATACATTTCAATAACACAGATATGGAAAATCCTTTGTGGATTTGATGTGGAATTTTAATATATTTTCATATTCATAACAACAGCATAGCTAGTTATACTTTTAATCTTTAAATTTTTTAAGTAGGTCTTATTTTCTCTATAAAATTAAGCTTTTAAATCAAAGAGTACATATTAAACATATATTGACAAAAGCATAGAAATAACATCCTTAACGCACAGATACAGAAAAATCACAAGCAAAAACTTTTAAGTTAAGAGTTTTTTATCTGCCTGCCATTAGTGTAGATGATGAAACAGCTAAATCTTTGAAGTGCTACTGACTTCTCTCAAGCTTTGCAATTCAAGTTTGGGGCCCAATGCCAACAGTCCAAGAGGTGAGTTACTAAAAGTGAAACAATGAGAGACGAAAGAGATGCTTTTCTTTGAGGTTCTATGGTCAACCGGGGTCCATAGAACCTTAACCACGCAAAGAATAACTTAATACAGGACAGCAGAGTTTGAGGTCTCTTTAATGCCCTTTCCTCTAAAACCAATGCTTTCATTAAGTTTTAAATGAGAAATTACTTCCTAATCTAGTCTCTCTTCTATTTCCCATAGAATCAAAAACTATAAAAAGTATGTCAAGAGGGTAGTGTCAGACTGCCTGGATTCAAACTCAGCTATATAAAAAACCAAACTCACTGCTATGGAGTCAGTTCTGGCTCACAAGGACCCTACAGGACAGAGAAAACTGCCCCTGTGCACTTCAAAGACTCGATACCTTTGTGGAAGCAGAGTCTTGTTCTCTTTCCAAGGAGTAGTTGGTGGTTTTGAACTGATAACCTTTTGGTTAGCAGCCCAATTCATAACTCATCAAGCCACCAGGGCTCCAAAAGCCCAGCTTTACTACTGACTATGTGACGTTAGGCAACATATTGGACCTAGATGTTCTTATCTGTAATATGGAGAAAATATTATTCTTATTTCAGCGATGTAAGCAATTAACTGAGATAAAACCACTTATAACAGTAGCTAACATATGAAAGCGTCAGTACCTTTTATTGTAGAAAATGTTAATATGACTACGAGACACACCATTATCTGCTCAGTTGTCCTTAACCTAGAAATAATATTAATATGGTTCCAAAAATGTCTTTAGGTTTTCTAGTAAGTACCAGAGAATTATTTTTCTATGAACAGCTGTTAAAATTTATGCATTAATTCTAAGTGCATCTAGGATAAGCAATTCTTTCATAATTCTTTTAGAGGCCATGTTTTTAATTCTTAAACAAATTCTTGCAAACAATAGTATGGTAAATTTACAATGTCTCTTAAGTCCCCGGTGGTAGTTACATAATTTCATGTCAACATGAAGATATATAAGTATGTAAGGGTGGTATTCAACCTGTCAATCAGGTGACAGCTTGGTGGGGCCTCCTTATGGTTATGGCCTTCTAATAAGGAGGGTACTGGGACCTCTCCTCTCTATCTGATCTCACCTTCCTGCTGGCTGACCCTTATTGTTGCTAGAGCCACCATTGGATCCACAAGACTTTGCACCCACTGGCCTGTGATCTTCCTGCATTATGCATCATTGAGCGTGACTGCTTAAGTCTGAAGTGGGACTTAAGCACTAGAATTGGACTTAATGACTTATGGACTTGAGTTGGACTGGACTGGAATGTTTTCCTGATATACATAACTACTTCATGATATAAAGCTCTCTCGCTCGCTCGCTCTCTCTCTGTCACTGGATTTGTTTCTCTAGTCAATCCGGCCTAGCGCAACTCCAAAAATGAAAAAAAAAATCAGTCATTCAAATGGCACCAATGAAAAGAGAAAGAATGAAGTTAGTAGGCAATTTGATAGCATAGAATAAGTTCTTACAACAATTAGGCAAGACCAACATATTCCTAGTAAAGTCAAAGCACTAGCCAAGGGTGTCCTTATTAAAAAATATTTGGAAAAAATTTGTAGTTGATCCTTTGAGTAATCCATCCAAGCCTAGTGGTTGATTTATCGATTTCTACCCTAACATAATGTTCAAGCTGTTCCAATGCGTTTACATCGCAAATATAAGGAACCGAACCGAGGTCTGAGACAGACAGAAATATTAACTGAGAGTGCTAAATGCTTTCAGATACAGAAATAATTGCACATTATAGATTTAATACTTTATTTTATACAACAAACGTATAAAACCGATACTTTATAAAATATTATATATCTGGTGACTGACAATATACTTTATACAGTGCAGTCTTTATATTATTTTAAAAGCACAATAGGTAAAGTGCTTACCCTGAAATTTAAATAAACTGGAAAGAAATATTACTATTACGCTTATCTACTCAAAGTGTATTTTATTTATTTGTTAGCTTTATCTTTCTATT